AAACACTTCAACTATATACAAACACTTCAACTATTTACAAACACTTCAACTATGTACAAACACTTCAATTATATATAAATACTCCAGTCTTAAACAACACTTCAGTCATTATACAAAGGAGGACCAGCTATGACTTGCGGGTGCATTGTTTGTGATTCATACCTTCGTGCCCATACGCTTTTCTATGATTATCTCTATTGGTTTGAAGGCTCCTTTCCTGTGCGTTGTGGAGAAAATGGACATCCGAATGAACGTCGAGTAACTCGACGCGAAAGTGCTATACATACGCACTCACGGTGTGGTTGTAGTTCAGTTGTACCAAACTATCACATATACGTGTATGTATGCAACGGTATGGATGTACTTTAGTTATACCACATCATATACGTGTAACTATGCAACGGCAATCTAAAGTCAAGTACCCGTGAACTGCACTGCACGTCTTCTGTATATGTATGTATTGCGTAGACAAATTTGATGATTTACGGATGGAAATCAACATTCATCCACCACAGTCACGTCAACACATATAACTGGGACTGTGCATACGTCAGCATGGATGCTCTCTACACGCATATATCTAAACAATCATTTACACGGAAATCCATTGAGAGTAAATAAGAATCGTATTTGGAAAGATTTACGTAAACAACGAGACAGCTAAGTATGGGCGCAATACTGGACAACATTTAAAAAATAGATCGGAGTGCACTTCACGTATATCATATGATATGTTTGCTAATCAAAAGCCACATGTACACTCAACCTGTGCTGTAAGGATGTTTTGTACACACACACACACATATATATATATATATATATATATATATATATACAACTATATATATATATATATACCACTACACTACACACACTATTATATATATATATATATATATATAATATACACACGACACACACACACACACATATATATATATATATATATATATATATAGCTATAGATATAAATACATAGTTAGGTATGTATGTATATATGTTCAGTAGCAACTATTTGTTCTCTAGTATATGTTCTCTAGTATATGCAGGCACATGTAGACCTCTCCTAAATTGAATATTCGTATGCATGTGAATTTTTCAAGTTATAGCAATAATGTCTCCGGTTGTTTGGAAACATCTCGACAGAGCTATAACTATAGGAAACAACCCTGTGAACAAACAAGATCACTATAGCGAAAAATACAGATGCCTAAAAGCATAAAAATATGATTGGTGATATGAGATGTGTGCCACGTACATAAACTAAAATGATAATGTGTTAATTTCTTGACCACACACGCCCTCATTGAATAGGATTTAGGGACATAGTCCCATTTCAGAAGTTAACGATCACTCAAAAATTTCGGCAGAGTTTAGGTCTTTATGGGATGGGGGTTTAGGGTTTAGGGTTGAATGTGGCAGAAATAGAACATAATATTCAGCACGTTCTCAGCGCATACCGTATGGTTGTGGAGCCATCGGCTGCGGTGACCTGATGATACTTCTGACACTTCTGTACGGCTAATTTGGTGATTTCGTCTCGAGCGATCTCTAATTGGTTGGTCAGCTTACCCAACCAGGGATCACATACTATATGTATGTGAAGGGAATGCAAACAATAGGGCATCAATGAAAACAATGGGACATGGATGGAAAGGAAAGACGATCAAAATAAATAGATAGGACATGAATGGGAAAATAGAACAGCAATGCACAAAATAGGGCTGAATGGAAACAATAAGACATCGATAAAAAAATAAGGGCATGAATGGGAACACTAAAGAGCATGTACCTAAAGAATGAGGGAAACACTACATACTTCATACTAGGGCTGACATATACAGTAGCTATTACGTAACCAACATGCACATACACAAACTGCATCTAGTCCGTAGCCAACAGGCACAGCTGTCCATGAGCCATACCACTGCCTCACTCCATACACACGATCACCCAACTACAGCGTATGATCGAATTTTCAATCCCACAATGGCTGGTGTGATTGAACATTACGCACACAGCAACTGCTGCAGCCTCAGAGCACTGCGAATTGCTCAATTGCTCTGTACGCTGTACTCGTGAATAACAGAAGTGCATAGTATTCTACATTCATTATCCTGTATGTGCTCTTAGATATGACAAATTAAACCTCAGATACTAGAACTAATGTTGGAAACTAACTATCAACCACTCAATCGGGTTGTTTCTTGTTTCTAACCCCTGAGACCCAAATACAAACGGGATGTCATGATTGGTGGAAGGTTTAGTCCCGTACATATAGACGCGCAGCCACTCCACGTAGTATTAATTGCAGCGAAAACCCTAAAGACCCTAAACCCAAAACCCTAAAACTTACCCAGCATTCGGGGGTTAGTCTTAGAGACGCAGCCGTTGGCGTCTGCGTACTGGTCGATCAGTTGGCGCATTTGTCTGTCTGTGACGTAGGTGTGCTTAGTCTCCTGCTTCGCATCGAATAAGAACCGCAGCGTGTCACTAGGTCTGTACACATCTGTCACAGTGCCACGTTTACCGCTGGTTGCCGTGTCTGACACTTCCTTGTTCACTGTAGACGGATTTGTTGGTTGCACTTCGATTTAGCATTGTTTGAGTTTTATAAGCCCTAAAAACCCTAAAACCCTGGCGAAAAAAGGAGATGTAGTTACTACCTGGGAACTCACTATCACACTGCGCACACACACGCTCATAACCCAAACATCCGCGTCCATGCCCACATACCTACAAATTGTATACACGCACAAACTCGACCCACCTATAATTGTTGCACAAAATCATATAGGAAAAACGTCGATAACACTATGACGTGGAGCATTACAAACAGAACTATGAGTCCCATCGATTTCAGAGCCACACTGAACCATCCAAAACCACACACGCACAGAGGTGCACAGAAACCACACGCTACACAGCTACCAATGTATTTGTTAGTTATTTCCCACAGGCACACAAATACACCCTACACGGTTATCAATGTATTTGTTAGTTATTTTCCCACAGGCACACAAATACACACTGCATAGCTACCAATGCATTTGTTAGTTATTTTCCCACAGGCACATAAATGCACACTGCACAGCCACCGGCACATTCGGTTGTATGCCGATGTGCTCAATTGCGCTTATTTAGGGTTTGAGGGTTAGATAGTAAATCGTTCATGCATTCAGATTCCGCACGAGAGCCCAACCATTAGACCACTACGCGTCGCACGCGCAGAGATATGTACAACCTCGAGATGTAGATGTCTAGATACAATATCTTGATAAAGGGTCTTGCTCCAGAGTTCAGGGTTTTGGGTTTTGGCGTGTGTACCTGTGCCCTTGATTACGCGGTGGTGCGCCAGTGCTTCGTGCGTTCGATTGACTGACGTGATGACTGATACACCCTTGCTTTGCTCCTTCAGCGTGATGATACCCTCCTTCTCCATATCCTGCAAAAACTTACCGATTTTCTTATACCTGGTACGGTGCAGATGAGTAGAGTGTGGTTAGAGATGAGGCAATAGAGGTACAGGTGCACATGAGCAGAGTGTGGTTAGCCATCTTGCATTGATAGGCGCATGATGTGGATGAGATATCAATAGCAACTGAGCGTATAGGGCCATGCACATGCCCACACGCCAGGTATTGAATTATCACGCTGTCGAAACGACACGACTTTAATCGCAAGAAGGCGGGTATTTGCATTCTCTCAGGTACCATATGACTGTCATAGAACACAGACACAAGTACTGACAATATACTCACACAGATATCTACTCTACTTACTTGCTACCTTTAATATCCAATCCATCATACACTCACACACACATTTAATCTACATACTTTCTTCCTTTTATATCCAATCCATCCTACACACACACATCTACTCTACTTACTTGCTTCCTTTAATATCCAATCCATCATACACTCTCACACACATCTACACTACTTACTTGCTTCCCTTTATATCCAATCCATCGGTACCTGGCATTCTCGCAGGCACCATATGACTGCCATAGAACGCAGACACAAGCACAGGCAACACGTTGTCGCTTTTGGCACTGGTCTTCCAACTCGTCAGAAATGCGTATCTCAGCGCCTCCTCTGCACTCATCGGTGCTGCGTCGTCTCTGTGTGTGTTTCTTTCGGTCTGTGTTGCTGTGTGCGTGTCTTCAGTGTGTTCATCCGTTTGAGCGTGTGAGTCTGTGGTTCCGTGCGTAGGTTGTGAGCTGTTGTCAGCGGTGGTCTGTACAGCCGCGCCCGTGTCGTCTGTGTCGCTGTGTGCGGAGGTCTCTTCGTTTTCGGACGATCTGACATTTTTTTGTGCAGAGACGAACGTCAATGCTATCATTGAACAGCGAAAAACCCTAAACCCGCCCCCGCATTCACCCATCCGAATGTAAGACAGAAACCATACACACAACATCATTAGGCACTACTCACAAACAAGCATGCAACGCAGCAAACATACACAGTCCCTTCATACAACCCCGTACTCACTCATCCGTAAGTAAAACAGCAACCATACACGCAACATCATATGGCTCTATACACAAACAAGCACGCAACGCAGCAAACATACACAGTCCCTTCATACACCCCCGTACTCACCCATCCGTAAGTAAAACAGCAACCATACAAGCAACATCATATGGCACAATACACAAACAAGCACGCAACGCAGCAAACATATACAGTCCCTTCATACACCCCCGTACTCACCCATCGGCCGAGGTCCACATGGTTTGCTCGCGCTGGATGGTTGAAGGCGGTTGTGTCTTTGGGCCAAACTCCCACAGGTAATCTGTGACATAGTGCAGAATCGCCACTCCCTTGCCGTTCATGCCATCGAATTTGATGTCGCGGTTGCTTTTCAGCATCTTACCTACCTGGATGTTCAAAGGAGGCGAAGGTACAACGGATGAGAATATCATAGACGGCAGATAAATA